CTCCAAAACATAAATACTCCATTACCTGGGATGTTTAGAAGAGCCTTAGATTATGTCAGCAGCCTTTTGCAAATTCTGAATATGATAGTGTTAACAAATCAATTATCTGGATTGCTTTCACTATAGCACAGAGAGTTTTAAATCTTGCTTTGATTACCTTGGATCATTTGGTAATTGAGAATAACAGATAATTTTTATTTTCCCCAGTTATTTTGAAGTACTTTTAGATAGAAGTATTGTCATGTGCTTGTTTAATGAAATGAGTGACTTTCCAACTACATCTTATGTGACATTTGAATATGGAACTTGTTTTGCTTAGTACTGTGAGTAGATATTCGGAAAACAATGACTCCACCCATACCCCACCCAACCAGTCATCCAAGCAGGTGGATGTGATAGCATACCTGTCAACTTTCCAGAGAATATGTTAGGGGGTTTTAAGAAACAAAAAGGGTGTTATGTGGTCCCAAGAGAATTAGCTAATATTTTTATTAGTCTTTAATTCAGAATTTGAATAAAAGAAGAAAAAACGTTTTTATTGGAATCTTTTGCATCATTTCCAAACAAAAAATAAATGGCAGACTTAGCATAGTCATATGTCATCAACAAATATGTACATATGTATTATCAGTGACTTTTTTTAAGCCTCATAAAAGATTCTCATATTCCTTGGCATGAATCATTATGTAGCTAAGACATTGCAAACTACAACTTGGTTGCTTGCCCCTGTGACTTTGGGATCAAGGTCATAATGACAGAAACTTGGTGTTTAGGTATGAAAGTAATTTAATTTCCTGATATTTCCTAAATCCCTTGAAAGGTTTTGTTTTACTTTGATTGATTCATATTGAAGCTTAGACAATTCATTTTGTGACATGTTTTGACCTTGGGATGAAGGTCATGGTTGTTGAAAAATTTCAGTATGGTTTGGGCCATTTTCTTTGTTACTATTTCATAAACCCCATTGATTTTGTTTTCATCCTTACTTGAATCAGTATGAACCAAGGACATTTCATTCTGTGACATTCCTGCAAGTGTTTTAAACCTTGGGTTCACCATCACTATCAACGTTTCATTTTTTGTTTGCATTTTCTAATCCACTTGATGGATTTTCTTCATACTTTGGAGTAATCATTATGAAACTAAAAGTTCATTCTTTGACAGGCTTGCATAACAATTTAGCCAAGTTCTCTGATCTTTCCATTAGATAAAATGTTTGTTATAGTCTTTATCTACACATGTATAAAGACCATCTAATATGCATTGTCTTTTCATAGATGATTAATTGAACATTAAGCAGGTTCAAATTAACTGTTGTCTCTGCATAAATGAGGACACTTGAAGATGTGTCTTATCAATAAGCTTTATGCATATTACTAGAAATAGTCTTTGAGTTGACATTGTGAGGCTTTATTCACAAATATCAGCTTATATTTGCATAAACAAATGTGTTAATAGCAATTTTTGGCTGTTATCTTGTTCAAGATATTGTGAAAAAGAGGTTAATAGCTTACAGATGTTACAAATCTTAGGTCTGAAACTAAGTAACAGAAAAGAATGAAAATTGACAAGTTTTGTAAAATTCAACAAACAGTTTGTTTCCCTTGTATACATAGTGAAAATTTTAAAGGAACTTACAGTATTGTGAATTAAGCCCCAAATAGTCGTAAATGTTCTGTCACAAGTCCAAAGGTATAGAGTACACTGAAAGTTTTCCAGTGTTCCAGATGACTTCCAGTATTGAATGTGCTTATGTGCCAGTAGTCTAAAATATGCTAATGAGTCAATGGATTTGATGAATCACAGTGATATAATCCAAAATGTCCTTTAATGAATTCACAATGATTCCAAAATAATGGTTTACCCTTAAATTAATGAGCACTTTGTAATTGAAATGAATATTTGAAGTAAATAACACCTTTTAAATATTAGCTGAAACACAAATCAAACTGATTCCTCTAAAGACTGATGTTAAGATTGGAAGATAGAACTAAATTCGGTTTTCTTGTCTCTTCTATAAAAAAACAACACAATAACAACCAAAGTAAGGGTAATTTTTCCATCAAATTCATAAAAAAATCTCTTTGAGAAACATCTAAGGCAAATAGGCCACATAAAGATGTAATAATGATCTTATTTTATAATCCAATGTCTTGGAAAAGATTTAGCTATGTGATATGTTGTTTATGAAAAAGACATTAGCCACTTAGGTCAAACTCCTACCCACCAATTATAGATAAAGATCAGTCACACAATACAAATTAAATATACATAATATAATCATGAATTAAAGTCACCACAATACAGACTAAATCTATATAACACAGATTATAAGAATTGAGATGCTGATACATTATTTTGACATGTCTTAACAAACACTGTTCATTTTGTCTGTTTGTTGAGCATCAACATTTGCCTAAAGTTTATTTAAAAGCCAGTTTTTCCTGTTTGCATCAAATTTTGGGCGTAAAAGATCAAAATGTCAGAGTCATGGTGACTCAATGAAGAAAAATGGTTTATGCAAAGGCAATTCATTTCTAAGTCTATAAGTCTACTTAGAGTTCATATTCCAAGCACAACAGTACATTTTGTTATTACACTGATGACCTTAAAAAGGATGGAGATCAGTGAAACTGACTGTCTTTAAAAGCTTGGTGTAACCGACTAAATGATCAGACCCAATGTGTCTGACCACCCTTCATGCTAAAGTGAGGCAGGAGTGGCAACAATCAGCCTCTTATTTCAGGGCTAAATATGAACCCTAAGTAGACTTATAATATAAATTACTATTAAGAAACCTATAAATTGGGGTTTTAAACAAGGCCAAATGTCAGAATCAATGTGACTTGATAAACATTTTCTGTAAAATGACATAATATTACCATGCTTTGGTGGCTGGCTTGTTGTTGTGGGGAGAAAAAAAGTGTTGTTTGTTGTTATTTTTCACACCATTTTTCACACCATTTTTTAGCACAAGATAGGCTATACATGGTGGCCAGTATTAATAGTGGAAGAAGAACCCTGGAAAACCCCGGGAAGAACCCATGAGAAGCTTAAAGCAGGCTTTCTTATTTACCCATGTTAGCTGGGCCTGGAGGGGGAAAATAAACTCTTGATGATGTGAAAATAGCTTATCTAAACCCAATATTTAAAAATTAAAATTTTAACAATTTCTTTCTATTCATAATTTGTGCTGTTCATCAATTTTTTTACCAAACTTCTCAAATGGTTTGCTTTTAGAAAAAGGGATCAATTCTCTTTTCTTAGTGGGGATTCAAGTCTTGGGCTCTGCCAGTGTGGATAGGTGAAAAAGCTTGCATGTAGCTTCCTGTGATTCAGTGGTTATTGCAGGGGTTTTCATGGGTTCTTCTTCCACCTTTTTTACTGGCCACCAGGTATAGTTGATCTTGTGCTGAAACATAGCATTAAACCCACAACAACACCAACTGGAGAATGTGAAATGTGTCCATGCTGGTGGTAATAAGCTCAAAATTTAAAATATTTTACAGCACAAACATAAAGCCCTCTCAGAAAAGAAAATTGTTCATCAAAGGTTCTTACCAGAGAGCCAAATACAGCTTTAAACATTTTTAAAAAATGTTTTCATTTTCAAAATGAATACATGGCAAGCATGCACTGAAAACTAGCCATTATGACCTAAGATCTCTCAGCATAGTGCAGGAGGGTGTAATTTCAAATTTTTCTTTGCTGATCTAAATCCCTTGCATGATTTTTTTTTTCTTTTTTCTTCTTCTTTTTAATAATCATTTAGACACCTGCTAAATAATGATTAGCTTTATATTGGTAATGTCAACTTTGCCAATCTTAACTACAGGTGTTGCTAATATCAGTGTCTCATGTTCCCCTGGACAAACCCTAGTGCTAAGTGACCTTTGCTATTATTGTCAAATTATCAGACTGGTACATAAATTATGCAAACCCTAGTGCTAAGTGACCTTTGCTATTATTGTCAAATTATCAGACTGGTACATAAATTATACTCCTCTCCTGTCCTGTTGACAGAGAAATAGAATAGTTAGTTAGATAAAAGATGCATATTAAGTCTTGTTATGAGTCTAATTGCAGATAAACTGCTTAATCATTAGTTACTTAGGTATATGTATCACAGTAATTTATGTATAGGTGGAGCCACTGAGATAAAGCTTCATCCTACCAATCAGTGGATCTACAAGTACAATGTGAAAAACTTGTGACCTTTTGTAAAACAAAAATTCTTCGGTATTTTGGCAACAATCTTGTTTATCATCGAAAATAGACCAATGGTTACTTGGCTTTTGTTAGGAAAGCCACCACAGTTATAGACTACAATCAAAAGATGTTTTAGACAGTTTCTGTGTATTTCTTGAATGATGTATAAAAAAATGTGTTATATGCATTTTTCTAAGACAGGTATAGACTTTGAAACAAAATTATTTAACATGTCTAGTTAAAGAAGTAATTGTATTTTGTAAACATGCTGTGAAATGTAATTTAGATTGGCATTGACATGAATAAACACTTTATTTACTTCATGGTATCTCATTATATACATGTTTCAATCATTATACTGTCAACCTGTCTTAGTAAGTGAACATTTCATCACCAATACGAGTTTTTTTCTTGCAGTTACTTTGTTCAGCCATATTTTTATTAGGGATAAAGGGTTGACTAGTACATTCAGAACTCAGAGCTTTGATTGATGCAGGCCAAGTGGTGTTGTCAGATGTGTGTGTGTGTGTATGTGTGTGTGTGTTTGTGCATGTGTGATTTAGATTTTTAATGTAGCTTTAACAATTTTTCATTCATATTGCTATGATGTCTGCAGTGTGACAGTTTATAGTGATGTCTAGCACTGGAGCATCATGACTCAGACATGTAGCATGATGTCTCACCCAGTAACATTATCCTGACACTAGGCTGAATAGTCCTAACACTAACCTCTTAATGCTGAGCACCAAGCAAGGCAGCAGTTAGTACCATTTTTGACTAAGTCTTTGGTATGACTTGGCTGGGGTTCGAACCCATGACCTCCCACATCCGAGGCAGACGCTCTAACCGCTGGAGCGGTCTGTTGTCAAATGTAGGGATATAAGTGTTTGTGGGAATTAGATTGCAGTTACAGTGAATATTGATTCATTTCATCAGCAAGACATTCTGAGATCTGATATTTTCAAGCATCTGATTTTCACTGCAGATGTCCCTTTCTCTAGATTTCTCTTGATGAGATGAGATAAGACCCTTCAAAGGACTCTTGTTTGTAAACATGTTCGCCATACCACTCACTCATCCCAAGACATGTGTATCTTGAATTGGGAATTATTTGAGATGTATAGAAAACCACCAATCCTATGTAATTAGCCCCACCCACAGGGCTTGGGAGCCAGGGTATTTGGTGGAATATTAGCATCATAATCTACCTAATAGTCAACTGTTGTGATGTTTCTTTGAGAAAAGCTTTATCTCACATTTCTTTTGATGATAAATAATATACTCAAAGTGCCATTACAAACCAACATCCACCAATCACATCCCAAAATTTTAAGTCTCTCTCTCTCTTGAATGGTGAAGGAGTACTTAGAAACATGTGGACACATGTGCATCCATGTGGTAAACCATGTAATCTCAACCTTTTTTGAAAAAGCATGGGGTTAATATGCTGAATTCTTAAAATTTATAAAGCTTAGATTTTATAGGTGAAAATTTAGTCAATATGTATGTGTAATATTTTGCAATTTATGGTGTGTTAATTCTGTCATATTCCTGAATAAGATTATATATTAGAAATTTATGCTGTAATTTTCAACAGAAATTTCTTTGTCTTTAGAATATGCTTTACATATTTGCACTATAATGTTTGTACGACATAAAAAATATGAATCTGAAAAAGAGTATATATTAGAAATTTATGCTATTATTTTCCAAAGAAATTGTATAAGATAAAATATGAATCTTTGATGGTTAATCATAGTTTAATTTCCTAGGCAAACAATGAAACAAACTTCCCATTTGTTTCAATGGTAGTCCTGCCAGTAGAAAGCATCTGATGGGTCTGAGGTAACCACTGGGGGTTTTCTGGGTTCTTCTTCCACAAGTTATATTCAGTTTTCATTAATTTTTTATGTTTCTGAACTTGTTAGCACAATTCAATGAAAAGCTGAGACCTGAATTAAATATCTTTGGCAAGTGCGTATAGATGTCCTTTTAAATTGTCATGCCTATAGCTAGTTTTAAAATTTTCATCAAGGATGACCATGTTGTCTTAGACATGTTTGGTTTGCAATGGGCAGTGTGGACATATGTCATAGGAACACATGATGCAGATGCAAACAAGTGGAAATTTTTTATTGATTGCCCCATTGCATGCAGTCAGAAAGATACATGATAAGTAATGTCAGGTAATACTCCTCAACAATTACCTATAAAGTTGTTCCACAGGGTTTTTCATTTGGCATCATTTTTTTTATACCCCCAATTCTATAGAGGCCAGGGTATATACCATAGTAATTCTAATGCTTGTCTGTATTTCCATTTGTCTCACCATCCAATACAATCGCCTTAGTACAACAGGTTGTGCAGATCTTGATAGATTGTTATGAAATTAAATAAATATTATGGTCATTGGTTGAAGATGTGCATGTCACTTTGCTCATGCAATTTTTGTTATTTCCCATCTTGTATTGTAGCATGACACTATCTTGCTGGTGCAATTAGTCGTCTAGTTTTGAATGGACTGCCATCAAACTTTGTATTTCTAATATGGTTATCATCATAAAATGCATGTGAATCACAGATGTTTGTGTGCCCATGAGCTTTTTAAGATTTATGTCATAGAATTTTGCAAAACAACTATTATTACCGTGTAGATCGTAAGGCTATTATCAGATGATATACCCATTTGTTGACTTCAGATTCATCTCAGTCATGGTTTTGGGTGGGGAGTGCAAGGGGCAGTGTAAAGGGAGCAAATTTTTATGTCGTTCTCAGTTTTGTTGTTGTTGATCTCTGTAAGAAATATTTACTTGGTCATGTGTATGATTAATTAGATTTATGGAGAGACTTGTGGCATTTAAATAGCCATAATGCATGGATTTGTTCAGGCTTTGTCATGGGTTATCATTGTAGTAGCCTACATTTGTTTAAACTTACCATGAATGATGGGTCCCATGTAGCTGAGTGGTTTAAAACGATTACTTTTGCCGATCACTGCCATCCCACCTCTGTCCTCATGGGTTTGAGTCTAAGTTCCAGTAGGATCATTGGTTCTTATCAGAGCTTTCCTAGGTTCTTTCTTCACCAGTTTTACTGACCACTGTGAAAATTGTGAGGTGCAGAAAATGGCATTAGCTGACAACAACAACAACAGTCTTTAAGAATGAGGTCACTGATTACCCACATACTATATTCCTGATACAGATGGCCATCATTGTAGCTTGTGACTTAATGTAATGACACTTGTACTTTTTACCTCTTGAAAGTCACAAACAGTGATATCAGTTTCTAAAATAAGCCATTTGGACAAGGTGAACTGGCAAAATGGCATTCAGTGTTCTTTTCCATATTATTGTTCTTACTGAAAACCATGTACCAGGTTTTAAATTTGTTCATCTGAATATAGATGTACATTCCAATATTTAGTTATAATGGTGCTTAAGCTTGCAGATTGTATAAATCAAATAGGATTAATCTTTCTAGAACAGTATAATACACAATTTGCATACATTTTATCAACAATATATATACCCTGAATATTTTGGGATGAAAAATCCAAGGTTACTGTCAGACATACACCCCTTGTTAGATAATGTCATTGAAGTATTTATAAATATTTTTATAAGCGCTTCATATTTTAACATATAAACAGAGAGAGGGATGTATGTTGGAAAGTGACTGTTCCTTATATTTTGTTTAGTGCATAAAATTACACTCTGTTTAGTTGATGTGATATTAAGCAGGTAGAATCTAGAAATGTTGCATTTATTTATAAACAATGTATCAGTGTTTTTATTTTTATGTGTCTTAGCAGCATTTGTGATTTTAGTAACCTTTTCTGATTCTTATGTGTTAACTTGTAACAAAGTCTTGAAAAGAGTAGAGAAAATTTATGTTATTTCAATATTTGATTTACAAACAAATTGTAATTTTGAAGTCAGTTTAGAACATAAGAATGCATTATGTTCATTAGAGTTATTGTATTGAAAAGAGTAGCACTTGTTGATTATATTTATACTAGGTGGATAATACATTTCCTTATTTAAAAAATATATACAATTATATTTTGTTTGGAAGTATAATTGTATGATTGTATTGATGGAAACAGCACTGCAAAAACTGTTGTCCCTAATAACGACAGCCACCATTAAAATGATAAATATATTTAACACACAAACTAACTAAAAGGGAAATAAAATAGATATAAATATATAAATAAATAATATTGGTTTCAACACAAAAAAAATGTACAAAATTATTACTGTGCACATATTTAAGTTGAATATATCAGAACATTACATAGTGAGGGAAGTGCAAATAAAAACAACTTTGTTTTTGCCTACATGGCATGAACTACTATGTGCTACTGAGTGTATCTCAGTGCTTTGTCCAGAAACAGTATGGCAGCAGCCAGGCACAGTGATCTTATTGTCTGCTTTAGGCACAATATAGATTTCATTTTAAGCACCACTGAGTGACCAATTGTGAAGCAGTGTCAGCGGTTTTGATAGTGAGTGAGCCATTTTATAATGTATGAAATACTAGATGTATATGTTACTTATCACAGAATTCAAACAAGTATTCATGATGTTTATAATATTTATTTATGGTTCTTAAACCTGCATCAACATTAACCCACAATATACAATACAAATTAAAAGATGGACATATTCAGTTAAATGATTCACTTTCATTTCGAATTAGGTCTAACATAGCATTTGTTTTATGTCAAACTAATTTATATTATAGTGATCCACTGAATTTGATTGGTACAGGATAGCCATAAGCAAGGATAAAAGTCAGTTTGTGAATTAATTATGAAAGGATCTTCAATCTATCAGATCACCAGATATAATTAAGGAGTTGCCTTGGTAATTGTTAAAAGTTGATCTCCACTTACTTCATTGCAGAATGTTTGGTAACTAGCATTATTAAAGAAATGATTTCTATATGGACAGGGGTTACTATGTGAAATAGTATTCTCACACCATACCATTCATTTGTACTCCCTTAACAATTTTAAAAACATAAGGCATCAATTATATGAAAAATGAACAAAAGTTAGTCCCTTCATTCATTGATTTATAAATTCTAACCTGACTATCATGAGGAGGTCCTAAACACTGTCATTTTGTTGGTGTTTTGAATCAAACAGGAATTTCATTAGCAACACTGTGGCCACATTTGCTCAAACAGTCTCTTCAAGCAGCAGATGTGATGTAGTTCACCATTTTTGAAAATCTCACTCAATAATTCTGAAAATTCTGGATTTACATCTCTTTGAAAATATGCATACAAGAGTTCCTCCTCTTTCTTTGTTGAGTTTGTTTTAAAAATATTAAAACTGGACTTTGCAAATATTGGATGCAGACACAGCTTTTACTGAAATAGACTATTCAAGAAACCATAAATGGACAGCGAGCAATCTGTCTGCATCAGGAACTGTTGTTGTTGTTGTTGTTGTGGTGCTTAAAACCATTTTTCAGCACACAATAGACTATATATGGCAGCATGTATTAATGGTGGAGGAAAAAACCGGGAAATCCTCGGAAAGAACCACCGACTCACAAGAAGCTACTGGCAAGCTTTCTCACATATTCACATTCGCTGAATCTTAGACTGGAACCCACGCAGACAGAGGTGAGATGGCAGTGATCCTTAACAGTGAGCACTGTAGACCTCTTGGCCAATCGGGGCTCCACATCAGGAACTAAGTTTGTGTTAAAACACCAATTATTTGACATTATTAGGGACCCCTTTGTGCCAGTCAGGTTAGAAACTATAAATCAATGAATGAAATAATTAAGTTTGTGCATTTTGTATATCCTTAATGCTTTTTGTTTTTAGAATTGGTGGTGGT